CAGCAGCTTTTAGTGCTTTAGAAAAACGTGTATAAGCACTTATAATTGGGTTCAGAGGAATATCCATTTGTACAAAACTTAAGATTTCTGGAAGTTATACAAAGGGAGGGGGGCTTTCAAGATGTTTAACTGCAACCACCAGCATCTTCCACTCATGGCTTACAGTGGTGAAGATTACTGGGAAATGTGGAGAGTGACATGCTTCTCGTCATTGTTGTCTAGAATTTACACTGACTACACCTATAATACTCTCGAGATACGTGAACTTCAGTACTCACTAAGCCTATTAGCTGAATACTTAATTTAAGTCAATCATACTTATGAGTGTCATGGTAACACAGGGAAAATCTGAAGCATTTACAGCATGCATAACTTCTGGATAGGGTGGTTTTAGTTCCTCTTTGTAAAGATGGTATATTTCAATGTTAAACTGAGTTGATTTCAGTTTAAAGCTAAAGCGTCAGTTAGTTCTAAAAATGAATTTATGGCTCATATGTCATCTCATTTTAGCACAGGTGCAAGGAAGAAACACTTTGTCTACTTTTAGATTAACTGCATCTTGCCATGCCATTAAGACCTGGAAAACTATGGTTAATCTTAATTACAGTAAGTATAATCAAACCAACTTAAAACTATAGTTTATGAAACGAAATTACTAATACAAACCTTACAATATCGCCATCGCCAAATGAAGTCATTTTCATTACAAATTACTGTAACCATATATAATAGAGGATCCTTTCCATATAAGTAATTAGTATAGATACTACAATTATCTATATTAATATATAAATTATTATTATTATTATTAGTAGTAGTAGTAGTAGTAAAACATAGTAGTAGTAGTAAAAAGAAGGCACATATTAAGTTTTGAACACATATGCTTGCTTTAAATATAATTCCATGCATAGTCTAACAAACTTTATATTTTGTGAAAATTTATCATTGTCAATGTACATACAGTAGGAATGTAAAACACCTCATAACCACTATTGTCAGTGGTTTGGTCAGAAACAGAGAAGCAGACACTCTGAATGTTTCAAGCTGGTTGGAAAAATCTGGTGCACAGCCTTAATGGAAATGTTGATTTACAGGAAATGCCTTAAAAATAACAAGGCAGATGAAAACATTTGGGAAATCTGTCAGTGATGTTTATGTCAACAAGGATTGTAATGTGAGAAATCCTCCAATTCAGAATACATCATTTTGGAGAAACACTTTTTGGTGATCAAGGTATAGTGTTCTGAGTATTCAGACTGATACTGAAAGAAAAACAGCACATGCAAAGAAAGAAAGAAAAAGACTTAATAAACCAGTAAGATTGATCAGGATGTTTTTAAATCTTATCTGTCTCACATACCTATCAGATGTACTGATATTTAAATTTTAATATATTATTTATCTGTTTTGTTACTGCAAGTTTGTTGATTCGCTACTGTGGCCTGATAGTTAGTCTTCCATTGCCAGTGTTTCTCAAACTCTGATCCTCCAGGTGTTTTGGGCTTCAGCTCCCAGAAATTCCAGCCAGCTTGCCAGTGTTTGGAATTGTGGGAACTGAGGTTCAAAACATCTGGAGGAGCATAGTTTGGGAAACATTGGATTAAATCATTTATATTATTTTGTCTGTTTGCCATTATGATATTTCTCAATTAAAAGGCAGGATAAAATCGTGTATGCATGTATGTATGAATGACCAAATAAATAAATAAATAAATAATAAAAAAGTTGAACCACTGAATCGGTAAAATTTATCTATGTGTTGATACAGCATTCAACAACTGATTTAATAATTCATAACCAATAATAATTAATAATTATTAACCAATAGGATGCAGAATGGAAAACAGAGCTCTGTTGCTTGCCTAGTAAATCAGGATCAGGGGATATTTATGATTGTGGCAATAGCGTCATGATTGTGAAAAAAGTGGAATTTGCAGCAAATGTTTATGTTTCTTTTTGCTACTGACGTATATGTATATTGTCTCTTTCAATGTCTCAATTTAGAATTTGAATTTAATTTCTAGATTTGTCCAAAACAGATATTCTATTTTATAATGGCAATCCCAAATATGCTTTTATAGCCATGTGTGAAAGTACCCTAAAGCTATAAAGTAAGTTGTTTGGCAGATAAACTTGGTTGATATGGTCTCAAAGTTTGAACAAAAGTTCTGCCAACCTGCAAAAGCACATGATAGTTCTAGCTGGAAAATAAATAAAAATGAATTAAAATAGCCAAGAGCTCTGCATCTGCAATGCACTTTCTGTCCTTTCCTGCTATTACTGTTGTTTCTTCTCTTGGGCTCAATGGGTTCAGCTCAGCTTCTGGTCATGTGCAACAGAAGCTCAGCAGAGTAATGCATCTGAAAAATGAACTTGGGAAGATTTTTTATTAGATCCTTTTGCCTTTGTAGCCTGGTTCTCGTGTATTTGGCTCTTTGATATAATATGGATTGAGACTATATGCTGCATCTGAAAACTTCTGCATACAGAGTCTAGACTATCTTTGACAGTCAGTCTTATCACCTTTACTTTGCAATGCTTTGTATTGCTGGAATTTTAGCAATGAACAATGCCCATACAACAGTTTATTATGCTGTGCATAGTGTACTTTTTCCAGTGTTCTGCAATAGCATTGGTGACAAAGCTGTCTTCATTGCTACAGTATCAGGACAGGTGGACTGCAACAGCAAATTTTTTTTTGCATTATGGGGTGATTCTCTTTAGGGGTTACAGGCAGTTTCCAAGTTACAAACAAGATAGGTTCTATAGGTTTGTTCTTAAGTTGAATTTGTTTGTAAGTTGGAACAGGTACATTTTCAATTGTAACTCCAGTCAAAAATATATTTCAACTTTGGATAGCATAGGGAAGGGTTAACACCCCTGTGGAGGAGCAATGGAAATTTGGTGGGTGTTTTCCTTGCTTGTTGTCTACACATGAGAAAGTGTAGACAATTACCAGAGTCAGAAATTTGAATGAATGTATCTTAATAGAAGACTAAGAGACATCAGGCCTTTAACATTCATATGGAGAACGGCGTACAAGCATTATAGAAAACACTATTTCATTAAAAGCTGCAGAGCAAGTAGTGAAGGATACTGTGTATCAGTAAGAAAACAACGTTAACAAGTGGAGAACAATCAACACATTATTTTGAGTAACGTCAGCTTCACTTGGCCACAATTCAGCAAATCCAGAAGTTTTTAGGAGACTGCTGAGTCTTCTGGCTCAGCCAAAGAATGCTACTGTTAGAGTGGCAAAGTCTTCAGTAGCCTCTTGAAGACCTTCCTGAATCACCCAAAGTCCTCCTAAACATATCAAAAATTTACTACTGGATCACACCAAGCAGCTTCCCTTGAAGCTGATGAGACATCAGTCATCTCCACACATAGCCAAATAGTCTTAATTTCCCAATACATTAAAAAAGAGGATTCTCCAGTGGAAAGGTGGATTTGCTGGAAGACTCCCAGGTAGAAAACCATCACCGAGTTAGTTCCACAGGGGAAGAAAACAACAAAAATAATCTACCAGAGCTACAAAGTAGCCTGTATGATGCATAAAAAGCACACAGGAAAGCAAAAGAGGGCATATTTACCTATGTCTACCAGATCCTGGAACAGTATTAGTAGTCTCCCCAAAGATGGTTTCCTGTAGCGTTCATGCACAAATATACACACAAAGAAAGAGAACATGTCTAGATGAAATTGTTAGAGAAGGCATGGGCAAACTTCGGCTCTCCAGATGTTTGTCCATGTTTGTATTAGAGGAAGGGTCTCAAAATCATTAAATGCACAATATAATTTCAACATCTGAACAGTTGAAGTGATGTTTGAGAAAAGAATTCACTACATATGTTCAGCAGTTTTAAGAAGGTTGAGAACAACACAAATCATGAGGCGAGGGGATTATTTCAAGCGCTGTAGGAAAGCACCAATTTCCCATACCTTTTGATGATCTTCAAGAGGATCATGGATCACTTGAATGTCCTCCTTGTTTTCATGTGCCTTCAGGTTGTTTTGGACTTATGGTGACCCTTAGCAACCCAATCATGTGACTAGAAAGTGTGTGATTTGTCCAAGAGTCATTCGGGGGGTTTACATGGCCAAATGGGGATTTGAACTTTGTTCTCCAAAATCACAGTCTGACATTGAAACCACTGTACCTTGCTGGCTTCTAGATGACCTCTAGTCCAGCCTACAAGACACCTGTTACTTGCAAGACTTGCCACTTTATAACCTGAACTATTGTGACCAAACATGGCATCAACCAGTTAAGTTAATGGTGTATTATATATCATTGCATATACTACATAATTTTAGCTGTTGTATTCACCAAGTCATGGCTGGTCCATGAGGTCATAAAGAGTCGGAGACGACTGAACGAATGAACAACAACAACATTCACCAAGTATGAACCTGACAACAGATTGCAGTAACTAAAAGCATGCAGCATATCTGTTGTATCCATTAAAATACTTACAGTATCATATATAATAATTATTATAATAATAATAATATAATATATAATCATTACATTACATAATTGCAATGCACAAAAAATGCAAGGTAGCACATTATATCAAATTATCTCTTCCTCTCACACATTTATATTGTTGTCTCCATAAAAATCCTGGTTTTCAAAACGTAATTTTGATAATGACGGGAAAATTGATCCATTTTGCCTCCTCCAAGGGGAGAAAAGAAAAGAAAAAAATGCCAACCACACACATACTACCATAACAGGTTTTCAATTGCTTTGTGGACAAAGAACTACAACAATCCCCAAGGATATAATGGCCGGGGTGGCAACCTTTTGGTGTACAATAGGTGAAGAGAGCAGTAAATAGTGATCCTGTTTGGGAATGTTCCCAATAAGTTGGACGAATCAATCCTCTTGGATTTCCCTTGATTACCCACCCAAGGGGTGAAATTAAAGAGAGGGGGAATGAAAAGAAAATAGAGGGGAGGAAAAAAGAGAAAGAAGATAAAAACAGCAACTCCACCAGACACCACTAGAGTTCTCCTTCTCCCAAGGATGAGTGGCTTCCCCTGAAAATCCTGTTTACCCCAGAAAGCTAGAAGAAGTGTGGACAGACGGGGAGAGAAAGAAGGGGAAAAATTCAGACACAATAAAACTCCGAGGCTGAAAGAGCAATATGTAGGAGAAAGGGAAGGAGGAGGAGGAGGGAGCTGCGGCCTGGGATTGCAAAGTTTCGCCTGGGTGAACTTCTCTTCTTCCCTTTTGCAGCAGCAAAAAAGAGAGAAAAGCAAGCAAGAGCCCAGCCAAGGTGAGAAAAGACTCCTTCTCTTTTTAAGTCTTTGGAGGGAAAGGCTTTGGATTCACAGCCTTTTGGATATTATGTGTCTCATTTTAAGGGAGGGGGGAATAAAAAGAGGCATCTCTGAGCTCGAATGTGCAGCCTTCTTTTAAAAAAATATGATGGAGGATTATAAACATGGCGCCTTTTTAAAAAAGCTACAAAATCATGTGTGTGTACACACTGAGCCACCAAAAAAGAGAGAGGAGGGGATTGATTGCTTGTGTATCTATGGAACTGGGAATCTAGGGGGAAAGCTGCCAAAAAGGGGAGCCAGAAGAATTTAAATTTATAATACTAATAATACTAATGGAAAAACAGGGAGACTACAGAAAGGGAGCAAGAGGAATTTACATGAATATAATAAATATAATAGTAATGTCCAGAAAAGTTGCAAAAGGAGTTTAAAATAATAATAATAATGATTATAGTAGTAATAATAAAGATGATATGGGGAAAGACTGCTCAAAAGGGGAGCAAGAGGAATTTAAAATATTATTATTATTAATAATAGAGATATGGAGGGAAGGCTGCTCAAAAAGAGCAAGAAGAGTTTAAATTAATAATAATAATAATAATACACTTGGACCTGATATGCATGTGTGCTGCTGTTGTGTACAAATAAATCTAGAATAATAATAGAGATGTGGAGGGAAGGCTGCTCAAAAAGGGAGTAAGATGAGTTTAAATAATAATAATAATAATAATAATAATAATTGTTAATGTGACACTTGGACCTGATATGCATGTGCTGTTGTGTACAAATAAATCTATAATAATAATAATAATAATAATAATAATAATAATAATAGAGATGGGGAGGGAAGGCTGCTCAAAAGGGGAGCAAGAGGAATTAAAAATATTAATAATACTAATAATAGTAATAAAGATGTGAAGGGAAGGTTGCTCAAAAAGGGAGCACGAGGAATTTAAAATATTAATAATAGAGGTGTGGAGGGAAGCTTCTCAAAAAGGGAGAACAAGGAATTTAAATTATTATTATTATTATTATTATTATTATTATTAATAGAGGTGCTCGAAAAGGGAGTCAGATGAATTTAAATAATAATAATAATAATTATTATTATTAATGTGACACTTGGGCCTGATATGCATGTGTGCTGTGTTATGTAGAAATAAACCTATAATAATAATGGAGGTGTGGATTATTATTAACAATAATAATAATCATAGCAATAATAATAGACATGTGGAGGGAAGGATCCTCAAAAAGGGAACAAGAGGAATTTAAATTATTATTATTAATAATAATGATAGAGATGTGTGGGGAGACTGCCCAAGAAAGGGAGCAAGAAGAGTTAATAATAGTAATAATACAGACGTGTAGGGAAGACTGCTTGAAAAAGGAAGCCAGAGGAATTATTATTATTATTATTATTATTATTAGCCTTTCCTCCATTAATAATAATAATAATAGAGATGTGGAGGGAAAGGCTTCTGAAAAAGGAGGAGGAAGGAGAATTTAAATCTATATTAATAATAGTAATACTAATGGAAATGGGGGAAGACTATTGAGAAAGGGAGCAACAGGAACTTAAATGAAGAATAATAAAGATGAGGAAAGACTGCACAGAAAGGAGATTTTAAATTGCTCATCACAATAATAATCATAATAATAATAGAGGGGGAAAGACTGTCCAAAAAGGGAGCAAGAGGAATTGAAATTTATAATAATAATGAGAGATGTGGAAGGATGACTGTGAAAGGGGATTTTAAATTACTCATCACAACAATAATCATAATAATAATAGAGGGGGGAAAGACTGTCCAAAAAGAGAGCAAGAGGAATTGAAATTAATAATAATAATAATAATAATAATAATAATAATAATAATAGAGATGTGGGGGAGAAGACTGTCCAAAAAGGGAGCAAGAAGAATTGAAAATACTACTGGTACTACTACTAATAATAACAAAAATAGAGATGTGGAGGGAAGACTGCTCAAAAAGGGAGGAAGAGGAATTGAAATGAATAATAATCATAATAATAATCATAATAGATGTGGAAGGAAGACTGCGAAAGGGGATTTAAAATTACTCATCACAATAATAATAATAATAATAATTATAATAATAATAGTAATAGAGGGGGGAAAGGACTGTCCAAAAAGGGAGCAAGAGGAATTGAAATTAATAATAATAATAATAATAATAATAATAATAATAATAATAATAGAGATGTGGAGGGAAGACTGTCTAAAAAGGGAGCAAGAAGAATAGAAAATACTACTGGTACTACTACTACTACTACTACTAATAATAATAATAGAGATGTGGAGGGAAGACTGCTCAAAAAGGAAGAGGAATTGAAATTAATAATAATAATAATAATAATAATAATAATAATAATAGAGATGTGGGGGGGAAGACTGTCTAAAAAGGGAGCAAGAAGAATAGAAAATACTACTACTACTACTACTAATAATAATAGAGATGTGGAAGGAGGAAGAGGAATTGAAAATAATAATAATAATAATAATAATAATAATAATAATAGAGATGTGGAGGAAGAGGAATTTCAATTTCTACTAATGATGATAATAATAATACTGGACTGTGCTGCCAAGAGGTTTTGGGGGCTTGGGTTCTCCTTCCCTGGGAATTATGTTTTAAGAGGGAAGGGCCGTCCACCTCCTGGTGAAACACACACAAAGGTGTTTGGAGGAGATGTAAAAAGAGCAAGAGGACGTGGTTGACTTCCTGGCTGGTGTGCAAGTGGCATTCTTCTTCTCCTCCTCCGTCTCCTTCTACCTAGGTGAGAGGGAGGGAGGGGTGTGTGTGTGCGATGTGGGAGGGAAAGGCAGGCGCCTGAGGGAGGAGGAGAAGGGCTTTCCCTTTCGCGGCCTGCTCCGAACGCCGGAGCCGGGGGCTGGCGTGAGCGTCGAGCCCGCGCGCGGCGCCACCCTTCCCGGCTACGGCCTTTCCGCGTGCCCGCCGGCGGAGGGGCCTGCCCGCTCTGAGGCGCCTCCCTCTCTCTGTCTCCATCCCTCCCTCCTTCCCTCCTTCCTTCCCCCGCGCCTCGTCGGCTTTTCAAGGCAGGTTTGGACCGAATAATGGCTGTGGGCGCCACAGGGAAATGGCTGGCTGAGGAGGCGCTTTCTGAGGGGAAGGCGAAGGCGGCCAGCGCCTGAGGGGAGACGGAGGCCTCGCGCCCCCGAGGAAGAAGGAAGAAGGGGGACGAAGGAAGGAAGGGAGGAGGCCTGCAGCCTCTGCTCAGAAGAAGAATAGGTGAGGCTTCACCCTCTGGAAGGGAAAGGCAAGGAAGGTTAGGATCCTCTCATTGAGGCCCAAGGAAGAGGGTGGGTGGGTGGGTTCTCACCTGGCATAAAGGTAAAGCAATGCCTGTCATAAAGCTACAGGGATTCAGGTTTTGTTTATTGAGGGAGATCCATAGGAAGGGATGTTATGTATCTTTCTCACCTGACAGAAAGGTAAACCAATGCCTGTCATAAACCTATACCTGTTTTGTGGGGTTTTCAGCTCTTTGAGGGAGACTTTGTGTGTTTTTATCTTTCTCACTTGACATAAAGGTAAACCAATGCCTGTCATAAACCCATACCTGATTTATGGGGTTTTCAGCTCTTTAAGGGAGACTTTGTGTGTTTTTATCCGTCTCACCTGACATAAAGGTGAAGCAATGCCTTTCATAAACATATAGTATAGGTCTTTTGTGGGGTTCATTGTATTTGAGGGAGATCCATAGGAAGAGATGGATGTCATTTATCCTTCTCACCTGGCATAAAGGTAAAGCAATGCCTGTCATAAAGCTACAGGGGTTCGGGTTTTGTTTATTGAGGGAGATCCATAGGAAGGGATTTTATATTATGTATCTTTCTCACCTGACAGAAAGGTAAACCAATGCCTGTCATAAACCTATACCTGTTTTGTGGGGTTTTCAGCTCTTTGAGGGAGACTTTGTGTGTTTTTATCCGTCTCACTTGACATAAAGGTGAAGCAATGCCTTTCATAAACATATAGTATAGGTCTTTTGTGGGGTTCATTGTATTTGAGGGAGATCCATAGGAAGAGATGGATGTCATTTATCCTTCTCACCTGACATAAAGGTAAAGCAATGCCTTTCATAGACCTATAAGATTTTTTGGGGGGAAGGGCTTCAGTGTGTTTGAGAGAGATCCAAAAGAAGAGTGTATGTGTTTTTACTCTTCTCACCTGAAATTAAGGTAAAGCAATGCCTGTCATAGAACTATAGGTGCTTTGTGGGGTTCAGTGTATTTGAGGGAGATCCACAAGAAGAGAGTTTGTGTAAATCTTTCTCACCTGAAATTAAGGTAAAGCAATGCCTGTCATAGAACTATAGGTGTTTTGTGGGGTTTGAGGGTCTTTGGGGGAGATCCACAAGAAGATAGTTTGTGTCAATCCTTCCCACCTGAAATTAAGGTAAAGCAATGCCTGTCATAGAACTATAGGTGTTTTGTGGGGTTTGAGGGTCTTTGGGGGAGATCCACAAGAAGAGAGTTTGTTTCAATCCTTCTCACCTGAAATTAAGGTAAAGCAATGCCTGTCATAGAACTATAGGTGTTTTGTGGGGTTCAGTGTATTTGAGGGAGATCCACAAGAAGAGAGTTTGTGTAAATCTTTCTCACCTGACATAAAGGTAAAGCAATGCCTGTCGTAAACCTATAGGTGTTTTGTGGGGTTCAGTGTATTTGAGGGAGATCCACAAGAAGAGAGTTTGTGTCAATCCTTCTCACCTGACATAAAGGTAAAGCAATGCCTGTCATAAAGCTACAGGGGTTCAAGATTTGTTTTGTTTATTGAGGGAGATCCTTAGGAAGGGATTTTATATTATGTATCTTTCCCACCTGACAGAAAGGTAAACCAATGCCTGTCATAAACCTATACCTGTTTTGTGAGGTTTTCAGCTCTTTGAGGGAGACTTTGTGTGTTTTTATCCCTCTCACTTGACATAAAGGTGAAGCAATGCCTTT